CTGTTTCAATGACCTGTTACAGTTTCTGTTTCTGTTGCTTTTTTTTTTCTGCTGTTGCTGTTCGTGCTGCTGCTGCTGCTGCTGCTGCTGCTGCCGCTGCTGCTGCTGCTGCTGCTGCTGCTACTGCATAAATTTACTGTGTTCCCGGTGCGCTTTCTAGCTGCACGCAGGGGGGGCCTCCGGGGCCCCTGGGGGCCCCTATAAGAGGAGCCCTCGATATGCTCTGGTTGGGCGTGCCTCTCGGTGGGGGCGAGCAGGAGCAGCAGCAGCAGCAGCAGCAGCGGCAGCAGCAGCAGCAGCAGGTGTTTTGTGTGGGGGGGCCCTATAAAGTATTAGTTTATTCTGTCGCTAGAGAAGGCACGAGATAGTGAGACAGCAGAGAGAGGTTGATGCTGCTTGTACGGGGAGAAGAGAGAGAGAGAGAAAGAGAGAAGGAAGGAGAGGCGTTGCTGCTGATGCTGAGGGTCCCCCCTTGCGTGTGAAAGCAATAAAGAGAAAGATAAAAAAGAAAAGAAAATGAATATTAAAAAAACTGCAGCAACAACACACAAAAACTACAACATAAATGTATAGTTTAGGGTGCTGCTGCTGAGGTGTATATACAGCTCCTCTCTCTCTGCCTCTCCTGTGTTGTTGCTAGGCCCCCACCCGGTGCTGCGTGCAGCAGCAGCTTTTGTTGGTTTTGTGTGTATTACACAAATTTAAATATTGCTTTTAATTAATATTTATAAATTAATACTTTTCTTCTCTTTCTTCTCCGCCTTTATCGTCTCCTCTACCCCTGCTGCACCCCCCCCTCGTTGCACAGCAGTGAGTGTGGCCAGGGGCGTGGGGCCCGGTGCTGCTGCAGCCAGTTTATATTGAGTCTTCTTTGTTTTATTAGTTTTTATTAATTTAATTTATATAATTTAAATGAAAAAACACAAAGAAGAACATCTCGCACAGTGCGAGGAGGGCCCCCCCAGCTATCCTGGGCTTAGAGCTATACGGGGTGTGCCTCAGTATATCTTTGTTTCTACCCCCCACATGAAATAAATATATAAATACAAACAGCAACACAAACTGTCTCCTTTTACACACCCAAAGCCACCCCGTGCACAGTCTCCGCCAGGCCGCACCTTAGAGACAGCCTGCACGAGTCCCCCCAACACAGAAGAATATATATAAATATACAAGTAAGGTTTATATCGTTAGTAGCAGAATTCACGCAGCTGAGAAGAGGTGGAGATACACACGAAAAAGACGCATAGAATATGCGATAGTTTTAATGGGGGAAACAACAAAAGCGCAGCCAGCGTACACAACTGTAACCCCAAGCATCGATCTCTTTATACAACGAACTGTGCGGGCTGCAGCAGACTCAGGAGAGCTTGTGTAGAGCTAGCCAGAGAGCAGTTGATGTACACTTCGGCTTTCCTATGCCCTGAACGCAGCGGCAGGAGGGCCTAGGGCCTCGGTTTCGTTCGGTGGGGTTGTTGTACCGGGCTGGCTGTCTCGACGGCGTGCTAGAACTTCCTCTGCATACTACGTGTATTTCTGGTTAGATGAGAGCTGGTTTCCTCGTTAGTGCATGCGTTGAAATATAGCTTTGGTATGTTTGTATATGGGTTTGTGTCGCAGCGACAGCCGCAGCAAGGTGCGGTGCAGCTGCAACAACGCACGGCACGCCACTGCCTCGCCGCACTAGCCAGAGACCCTGGGTCGCGGTTCCCCTCACTGTTGGAGACAGAACGAAGGTTGTCTGTTATATAGAGTATTCGTATATTAACTATCATGTTCATACTGCAGCTCACTCCAGCCCTTGGATAGGTTCGATGACTCTGCTCACTCGGTAGCAGCGTAGGAGGGGGGACGCGGGCTGCTCCCAATGCCACCACAGCTGGGTGCCCTGGCGTGTAGCGCAGTATAGCGGTGAGGACGTTTTGCCCCTAGAAGAGAGGAGATAACTCAGGTTTCTCCCCCAAAATGTTGTGCAGGACCCAGCATCTACCCCACTCGAAGCATGAAGATCGATGTTAATCTGCCCCCATGCAGGGAGGTGAGCAGCGGCTTGGCTCCTCGGTGCATTGAAACAGAAGCATCTTCAGCAGGCCGTCCAACTGTAAACATCTCTGGGGCAAAAGAAAATTTAGAAGCAGCACTTACGCCTCTGCAGACCATCCAAATATGACACGGGTCGCGATGCAGGGGCAGTGCACGAATTCCTAGTTTCTCTGGCGGGGTACTGTAGCATTCAAAACGCACCTGAAGAGCTCCAGCTGCTACTGGCTTCTTTATTTTATATTTATTTTAGAAACTTATAAACAGCAATGGTGGCTATGTTTGACCAAGTTCTCCGCTCTCGCTGAGCACACTCGGGGTATCGAGACTATCCAGCATTTGCTGCGGTATAGACTTATGCCCTGCTCAGCAAGGGAACACAGGCTATAGTAGAAATAAGAAAGCTTAGGCGTGTTGATAGAGCGATACACCAAGAACTATCCGTTTTCACTGCGCTGAAGTCCAATGCTGGACTCAGGATATATATACTCCGCAGGTTCAGAGCAGGGCTGTTCCCTGGAGAGAGAAGACATCTGAGATTGAGCAAAACGATGAAAGCTGGAGGTCGCCGAGGTATTGAGATGGTTACTCACCGAAAGTATAAAAAGCCCAAGCTCTATCTTTGTGGATTGCCCAGCCCTTTACGTAACTCGCGAAGCAGTGAAGAGGCTATTATGGGGGGTGACAGCCGCAACTGCATATCCGCCTCGAGTAAGTTGTGTGCTTATCTCTGTTCGTATTGATGATGGGCAGGGCTTACTAGTGCTACTTTAGCCAAGCTGTAAGGTGGATATAATATCTGGGGATACGAAGAGGAGACGCAGCATATCTGCTTATTTGTTGGGGCAGCCTCTGAGTCTCCGTTTCGCCGACGGTAGAGAAGAGACAAGTGTCGGCAAACGTACGGGTGCAAGACGCGGGGTCAACTCGAAAGGAGATTAAAAACTTGACATTCATGTTCTACTAGTTTACTACAGCATAGTGCTAGGCACCCCGAGCGCGCCGCAGTGGATAGCGTGCCTCCAGTCTCCAGGAGACATCATTCAGCTCAATGTGCCAGGGAAGCAGTGAAAGTGTGCCCTTTCTCTCATCGCTTCCGACAGCCTTCACACCCCCTAGGTCAATAGGAGTGGAGTCATCCTCCTAAGGAAAAAGGAGAGTGGAAAGTCGAACGCAGCGCATACACGCTGCCGGAAACGACGGAGAAACGCATATACCCTGTCGTGATGGTCGCGTGAAGACTGCGTTTGGGGGAAATTCGATCCAGCTAACACCCAAGGAAAGGGAGCAGTCGGCACAGTTGAAGGAAAAGTTCTCATATATATATATATATATATATATATATATATATATATATATATATATATATATATATATATATATATATAAAGGAGCTCCCAGCAGGCCGATCATCCGATGGGCGCCCAGTGCATCGCCCCAAACTCATTCCCATCGCAACCCTAGTTTTGTTTAGAGAAGCAAACCGCTTCTTCGGTCTCTTCGCAAACAAGAAGCCTCCCGAAACCTGATCAGAAATGTACCGCCCTCTCGAGGACTCGCTCTCCCCCATTTCACAGCCTCTTCTTCATCACAACGGATACGCGTGACACGGCAG